ATGAGATTAAGCAACAATCAGTTACTGAAGCCATGAAAACACCTCAGAGCTGGAAACAGGGGTCTGGCCTGCCTGGAGTTTTTCACAGCTGTGTTAATAATCATGTTAGTCCACAAATGAACCACACATACAAGGTTTCAAAGTTGCAAATGTAAAACAATTAGTTGCATACAGTAAAAGTTCAGGCAGTGGGAAAATGAGTGGAAGTAAGCACTGCAGGGTTTTATTATATTATAATCTTCAAGGTATAATGTAAACAAACTGTAACTAGTGAGGTGTGATTTTTGTGAATGGGTGGACACCATTCATTAAATGTTTGAAAGCAAGGCGATTTAAAATGAAAAGCACGGTTCATGAGGTGCTGTCCTCTTTTTTTTTTTTTTTTTAGCAAAAGTGGATCCTCTCAGCATTTCTCTCATTTGGGTGCTATAAACGGATGATCTCATGGTCATAATTTTTGATTGCTGTGACCTTTCTCCCTGTCTTAGATCCCAACACCCCCAACGTCCAGGTGACGCGAATGACTCTGGTATGTGAGACGGCGCCACAGCCTCTGGTCCTCGACCTGCTGGGTGAGTAGAACTTGTGTGTGTGTGTGTGTGTGTGTGTGTGTGTGTGTGTGAGACTGAGACACTGGAATCGGGACAAAACTCAACAGCTGATTGAGTGAAAAGAGATCATTTATAGTTGACATCTGAAAGATTGTTTCAGACACACATATTCAGGCAGCTGCCTTTCCTTACAGCAGACACACTGGAAGAATTTGCTCATAGTAATATTAATAATAAACTGTAATCACCCCCATCTTTCTGTGCAGATATAAACCAAATGACCTGCTGGGTCATTAGTTTGCTAAGTAGCAGTGACGTGATTCCTGTGTAAGTGGGTTAATGAGCCATTTCCTGATGGCCCTCCTGCCCTCCATTGGTGGTCACGCTGAGCTACAACAGAGCAGGCACTTTGCCACCTGGTGGCCAGCATCAACACCACAGGCTGTTGAACAGCAAAATAAACTTGACCCTGCTTTTCAGAATGTAATTCCTCCTTTTTTTTTTTTTTTTCAGAAAAGTAAACCATAAAATCCTTGCTTGTTTATTCACCCTCAGTTTAAGTGTTTCAGATTGTGTAAAAATGCTGGCATGTTGTTCCAAACTGATCTTAAGTTATAAATCTTGACAGCCTTCATTGTTGCTTGACCTTTCATGCTGTGTTGCTTTCCCTTACAGGAGACCTGGAGAACTTCAGGAAGAACCCGTTTGTGCTGAAGGAGGGAGTGGAATACAGAATGAAAATCAACTTCAAGGTGAGAGAGTCTGGTCTTTGTCAAACCCAGGGTTGCTCTGTGTTTGATGTTTCAAGACTGTTGGAGGCGTGGAGATGTTACTGTAGCTGGTGTGAACTATCTTTTTCATGGGAAAGTGTGCAGCAGGATGTGACGCATGTTGCCTTTTGCAGGTCAACAGGGACATTGTGTCAGGCCTGAAGTACACTCAGCAGTCATTCAGGAAAGGAGTAAAGGGTAAGTCTGCCCCAGTGAGTTCATTGAATCTCTGCAATTCCTTAGGTGGATTTTGACATGAAAATGTAAATTGGCATCCTCTGAAGGTGTACAATATGATTTATTTGGGGAATAAGCTTATTCGCTGTCTTTCTGAGTTGGATGAGTAGATTGATACCGTCAGCTGGTTATCTTAGCTTAAAGACCATGGGTGCTTCTCAATTTCCTAATTTGTCTTTTTCTCGCTGCTCAATCACCGCTCGAACCGGAAGTTGTTCAACTCCGCCATCTTGCAGACCGTCAAAGCTCTTATTTGTGCTCCGAGGAGCGATCTCTGAGGAGCTATGAGCAAGGATACACAAGATCTTTTCTTTCTTCCTTCCAAAGTAATCTTAATTTTGGGGGCTTAACGTGTTCGAAAACTCACCAAACTTTGCACATAATTCAGGCATGGTGAAATTTTTTCTTTTTTATGTGTTTCACTCATGGGCGTGGCAAAATGGCTCGCTAGCGCCCCATACAAAGCAGCCCCCGGACAAAGTTTCACCTACGTGTACGAAACTTCAGTGGTACATATATCATGTCCAGACATTCAAAAGAGCCTCTAGGTGCAATTGCCAGACACCCAACAGGAAGTCGGCCATTTTGTATTTAATGGTCATTTTTGGCTCCGTACTTTAACAAACTCCTCCTAGGGATTTAGTCCGACCGACTTCAGATTTGTGCTGTGGAGTCTAAACCCACTGATGGTTAAAAGTTGTACGAACGGTGAGTTTTCGTGGAACGGCTGCCCCGTGGCTTGGCGTCCAAAATTGATGATTCATCATAAAACTGGAAGTTGTTATAACTTCAGTATACATTCTCACATCTACACCAAACTTAACATGTATAATAAGAGTCCCGCCCTGAACACATCCACATGCCAATATTCACTCAAAGTCACAGGGCCACCTGCTGGCAACAGGAAATGACATGTTTTATGCTGTAATGCACCACTCCTAGGAGGTTGGACATATCAACTTCAAAACTGTCCCAGAAAACCCATAACGCATGATGAAGCCATGTTGTAAAACTTTTGAGTTTGCAGTTAACGGTGTGGCGGTGGCATGGCAGCAAAGTTAAACTCTTCGCCATGACACAGGAACTTGTTGTAACTTAACCAAACTTTACCTGCTTGATAACAGTCACACCCGGAAGACATGCCAATATTCATTTATAGTCGTAGCACCAAGTGCTTTGTAACCCCACAAAAGGGACGCAGGAAGTGATGATTTACACCTTTGTGCAGTGTACGAAGTGCGTGGCAAAATCACAGCCACACCGGCAGAGCTCCAGAATCTGCAACGCAGCCGCCTCAAACCTCCACACGCTACATGTACGAGGGCCCGCCCAGCGCTGCTTGCAGCTTTAATATTTTATTTGTTTTATGATTCAACAACAGGACCACACGCAACTTTCTTCATTTATTAAAACATATTTCCCTTCTGCCATTTCTCCCAGTAACTTTTATTATGGAGACAATTAAAGTCAGATAGAGTCAGTCTGCAGGAAACGATTCAGAGCCTACATCATTTATCATCATTTCCATTCAGACACATGCGGCTTATCATTCCTGAATGTTTAGTCCAAACAGACAACAATAAAACGTAGTGAACGAGTCGCAGTCACACAGTCGGTTAGTTTTTTTTTTTTTTTTAATGATTTACCTTCAAGTTAAAATCTGTTTTTAAGTCTGAACAACAAAAGCGCCACACACAACTTTATTTATTAGAAAGATTTTTCTTTCTTTTATTTCTCCCATTAACTTTTATCACGGAGGCAATTAAAGTCAGAAAGTTGGAGTCTGTCTGTCTACAGGAAACACTTCTTACATCATTTGTCATTTACATTCATTCACATGTGAGGCTGATCATTCCTGGATGTTTAGTCCAAATAGACGACAATAAAATGTAGTAAAGGAGTCGGAGTCAGACATAACAAGTCACTAAACTGCAGTAAAGACTGAAGAAGCAAGCAAAGATGGGGGGGGGGTTTATTTTTAAATGCCCCAAATTAACCTGCTTTTCGGCTGCACTGATAAAGCTGCAGATCATACTGTGTGTTTAGCTTTGCTTTACTTATTGTTGTTTCTCAACTGAACTACATTTTTGGTAGATACTTGACCTGTTTTTATCCACATTTGGTAGATTTCCCCCTCACTAATAAGCCATTTATCAGGCAGCGTCTCTGCTGGTGTAAAGTCTATATAAATATACCTTGCACTTGTGCTTCTTACAACCCGATTTCTCTCCCTCTGTAATGTACAGTTGACAAGTCGGACTACATGGTCGGCAGCTACGGGCCCAGACCAAACGAGGAATACGAGTTCCTCACCACTATGGAGGAGGCACCCAAAGGGATGCTGGCCCGCGGCACCTACAACATCAAGTCCAAGTTCACTGATGACGACAAACACGATCATCTTTCCTGGGAGTGGAGCATCACTATCAAGAAAGACTGGAAAGACTGACTCCTCCTTGCCATCCTCCCATCAACGTCTTCCTCCGCTTCACCCCTCTTTCTTTTCCTCGCTGTCATTCCATTATCTCCGCCTGGGTCCATCTCTGGATTCTGTGGGTTTTTTTTTTTTTTTCTTTTTTACATTTTTGCTCTCTCCGTCCATTGTGACCCGTTTCAATCAGTTCATTCCTCACATTATAATGCTTCATTTGTATGATATATATAAGTATTAAATCTTTAAAATGGAGAAAGCAAAAAATGTGCACAATCCAGATTTTGCAGTTATGGTTTGTTTATAAAAGTAAAATAAGTTTAAAAAAAAAATATAGTCTATATACCTCTTTTGGAAAAATGAAACTCTGCTTCTTGCCACTTTCTTTCCTTCCCCCTTTTCACTCTTCTCTACTTTTCGTAAGATTACCGTGATCTGCCTTTGAAAGCATTGTACAGGAAGCAGTAGTGCTGTATGTGCATGGCAACTGTACGGTCATTGAGCAATCATTGCTGGAGACAACTCTTGGATGCAGCCCTCCTAAAGCCTCTGAGCAGATTATTTGTACCAGGGTCTTGGTAAAATATTTGGAATTCAGGCCACCTCTTTTTCAAAAGGATTTAGCGCCCTACAAAGTCTGCTGAGAGAACGTGCGGGGAAACAAATGACCTCTAACCCCACGTGACCCCTCGCTTTAGGTGTGGCTGTTCATCTCCTGATCAGGGTATTTTGGCAGGTCTTTTTTTAGTAGCCATGTGGCCTTAACAATAACCCTTAGGAAGAAAGACAACCTAGTTGAGCCATTTGCCTTCAGATTATATTTGTTAGACCATCATGTGAGCCTGTTTTTAACTTGCAATACATGGACAGGGAAGCAGGGCTAAGGACTTTTAACCTATAACCTTTATTTCAGGTTTGGAGATTTATAAAAACCATTACATATTTGGTTTCAATCATATTTACATATTACAAACACTTTTCATTGCAGTACTTCTGGTTTTCTAAATCAGGTTTTTTTTTTTTTTGTTCACCTGTAAATATAAGTCCAGGTTGTTCTAATGGCCTTTTGTCAGCCAGTGTCCTCTTTGTCCCTGAGCCCATATTTCAGCGTGTCCGAGGTGTTAACCTTAGTTCCTTCCTCAATCAAACGCAAGGACTTTTAATCCGCTCACCTCGTATTACTGAAGTTTAAAATTACAAATGCTGACTGTGCCTCCGGTCTCTTTCAACCACACGCTGCTCCTGCTGACTCGACTTGCACTCAGGTGCTCAACATCAGTGAGGTGAAACCTTTTCTGTAATTGACTTCTGAACCAGTACAGAGACATCAGTCCCCAACCAGACATTGATGGGTTATACATCCTGCCATATAAAGTGTTTTTGTTTTTTTTACACACTCCAAATATGTGAATGAAGTCTGTCTGCAGCTTCAGTCAGCTGTCATGTGTCATGGACTGATGTTTCTCTGTGGGTTTGACTCAAACGTGTGCTACTTGTTACCTACAGTTTACTGATCTCCTGTGTTCACATTAAAGTGTTCAGACTGGGCCCGCATGCGTCCTGTTTTATTCAACCAAACAAACTACCTGCTGTAGTATTTGAATCGTTGCCTCCCTGAGCACTTAACAATGAAGACGGAACATGGATGATACATTTCTTAGTTTAATTAACAGAAGGGAAAAAAACATTTTAAATGGCCCCACTACAAGAACAAATTTGCCCCCCCGCAGCGTGTAATGCATGCTGTTAAACACCAGAGGCATCTCCGCCCTTCACCAGATAAGTTATAAACCATGTAAGTAAACCAATCTCCATCAAACACTTATGCGCAGTACACTTTGGCAGCTGTCACCAAGGATTTGTACCAATCCGACAAATTCAAAATAACTCATCACTCTTGTGTCTTTAAGCAACCTCAAGCTGGTCAAAGCTTGTGATTTAGTTTGTACTTGCTTTTAAAGACCAATTTAGCACTTAGTGTTTATAGTACAGATATAAGCTTCAAATGCCAATAGCTGTCTTTTTCTTATTTGGCTTAATTATTTTCCATAAATAAAAAATAAATAGTTGAATCTTTTCAGTACATCTCAATGACAAATACTACACCACACACTAGACTGCCCTAAGCCAAACAAAACCTTCCATTCTGATTATTTGTCAGTGACGATCACTCAGGGGGGGAAAAAAAAGGCATTTCATCCACATAAACGATCTCTCATCCATGTGCTGAAATAAAACATTTGGCAGTTTCAAATTGATTCCCAGAGAGCAAATGGAAGCGTCCGCTCTAACAATATGCATCAGTAATCACCCAACTCCATGACTACAGGCATCCACCCATTAGGTCATAAGTGGTCAAAGGTAAGACAAGAAAAGCAACAGGGAGGTAAATTAACATATCTTGTGTAGTCACTGTTTTCAGTGCATGCAGCATCAGTAGCTGTTATAATGAACTCATTTTTTAGTCTTTCTGCTCTTGGTCGAGTTCATGTCACTCTTGGTCTTTTGCAAGCGGGAAAAGATCTCCTTGAACAGGGCCTTGTACTCCGGCGTGTTCTGGCTGAGCCGTTTGTCCACCTGCTCCACCTGCCTGCTGATCCCCTCCAGGGCCTCTGGGGTGGAGGGAGTTTGAGGGGGTGTGGGAGGGGCGGCAACGGCCCCCGATGTCGAAGGCCCCGCCGTGACCATGCTGTACTCCTTCATGGAGGGGTCTCTGGAGACGGGCCGCGAGGTCTGCACCCCAGCGTGGCACAGGCTCTCCTCATGACGCCGGCACTTCCCCAGCAGCTCCTCATACTTCTCCAGCAGAGCGTGGTACTGCTCGTCCACCTCCCGCAGGATGGACATGCCACGTTTGCGTACGCCGTTGGCATGGAGGGCGTAACTGCCCTGACGCCTGCCTGAGGCGTCGCGGGCTGAGATGGCATTCAGAGCTGTGTCGCTGCAGCTTTTCCTCACTGGGCCTCCCTGCTGCCCTGTGACCTCTCCAGCACCTCCTTCCCCTCCTTCCTCCGGCCCTGTGTCCTCCTCTGGGGAGTCTGTCTCAGGGCCGTTGTTGAGCAGGGACTCTAGGCCGTCTTCCATGTCCCCAATCAGGCACATCCTGGACTTCCTCAGCTGCTGCATCTCCTGGAGCTCAGCCTCGAGCTCCTGAACCCGCAGCTGGCAGCCCTCTGCACCCATGAGACGCTGTTCCAGGCGCTCAAACTCCTGCAGCACACCGGCACACTCCCGCTCAGCGCTTTCCCTTTTGGACCGCTCTGTGGCCATGGCTGAGCGCAGGGAGGAGACAATGCCTCTCAGGCGCTCATTCTCCTCATCCACTGGCTGTCTCTCAGCCAGGTCCACACTACCCGGGTTGGCCAGCAGGAAACCATCCTCATACCTGACATAAAGAAGCACAGTTTTTTGAATACCTTACAACTGAACAATCATATAATCAGTGCACCAACTTCTTTAAAGGCATTGTAAAACCTAGAAGTCCTTAGATTATGACTGCAGCGTGCCGTACAAAGGCACACAGCATTAACTAAAGAAACTAAAGCACTTTGAAAGCTCCTACACAAACTGTGAAACTCTATATGTTGTAAATCCTTAATTGTATGCTTTTTGCTGATAATAAATTGTCACAGTGCAAATTAAACCTAAAACAGATACTATGTAATGTGCAACGTATGGTTGGACAATCTAAAGGGTCTAAAACAAAATGTGTTCTTCTTATCTGTTATCTTGTCCATTTAAACTAATGAGCTAGTTTAATAGGTTGATCTTTAATTAAATACATTTAAATATGTGATTTAAAGGAAGCTTTACATCAAATCATGTGAATGCCACTAGACTATAGAGATGGCAGTTACTGCTACTCTGCTAAACTAAGCTAGGCTAGTGTATAGCAGGCCATTATTTTTTAACATTCAGCTATTGTCTTATTTATGCAGTATTACAATGACTAAGATGTTGGATCATCAAAATTGGCTTTTTAATTCCAGGAAACAAGAAAAGTGGGTAAATTAGCTTCAGCTATCAGTTTAGTTTTACCTCTGTTATCTAGTTCTGTGTTCCCCAAAAAATATACTTTGGTGGTATAATCTCAATCTCAATGATGAGGCTACAACAAAGACGTCAAAAAGTCAGATTCTCTTAACTCATTTTGGACCAAATATGTAGTTGCTAAGTTTTGGCTTTTTAGGGCAGTGTGGTCTGATAATAACTGAAGAATCAACCCACCATGTGTCCTGCAGAATAACCATTCATCTATTGTATGCATATAGTATTACCAACATACTAATCCGTGTGAACAACATTACATGACAACAGAGCCTGGCTATAGACTGTGGGTGTCTCCTGGGAGTGACTCTCTCAAAGTCAAGGGCCTTTTTGTATAGTAGAAAATAAACTCCTAACAGCGAGTGACCTTGGCGCTGTGCAGAGCTCTTTGAGGCAGGGGAAGGAGTGGACAGTCTTGCGCCGTTCCTTCTTCTCTCTGAGGACCCTCAGCTCCTCCAGAGTTCGCAGCTCCTCCACCCGGCCTGTCAGGCTGTCCACCTGACCCTGCAAGGTCTCCATGGTGCCCATCAACCTGTGCACACACACAAATGTTTGTTCAGTGCTTGTTACGTCATTATTAAGCACCAGTGAGTCATTTACAAAATAAAGAATGTGAAAGCGCATATGTAGACAGAACAAAGGCAGCCATTGAAAACTCTCTTAAGCCTTCAGCCCACTAGTATGATCTGAAAAGAACTTTGATCCCTGATTATGATTGTGACAGTGCTAAAGAGGGCTAAAGTGTAAAGTGATTTGGCAGTGTAAACACAATTGTTGTAACAATGTAAATTGGTACACAAAAAAACGTCCCTTTAAAGACCCATTGTATGTAATTATGACGAAGGGTGACTGATCTGTGATCTTGTAGATGTTTTTCTAGAGTGTATGATTTCTGGTGTCCCCCCTCAGTGTCCAAAATAGGAGAATAGAAGATGGTAATTGTGACGATCTCAGACACTGTCAGCCGGCAGCTGTCGGTCACCTGTCTATTTTCTGCTGCGAGGCCTTGCTCTCCAGGACCAGTTTCTCGTTGGTGATCTCCAGCTCTCTGGCAGTCACATCCAGCTGTTCATACACCTTTGCATGCTGCTCGTTCATGTCCCTCAACATCTCCAACTGCTTGGACAGGTACTGCAAGGGAGACAAGTTTCATATTAAAATGAGATGAAAAACAAATCTTAAGCAGTTGAAAAATAAGAATTTACACACACAGTCCCTGTAACACCTGACCACTAACAAAACACTGAGAAATACTTAGCTATATGGCTAAATGGTTAAACAGCTAGTAAATAAAGCTGAAAGTCTAAAAGTTGAAATAGTTAGCTAAAAGTAAAATGGTTAATGATTGGTTAGCTGTTAAAATAGTTAACTAAAAGAAATGGATAATTGATTGAAAAATTTTGCTAAAAAGTAATAATAGCTGTTGAAATAGCTAAAAGAAAAAATGGATAATTGTGGTTGGTAGCAGCATAAATTTGGACAAATAAACTCAATGCAAATTTGGCTGACTGGCTGAAAGTCTAGTATAAATTAATTTGAAACATACATTCCTGACACACTCAGTGTTTTTATTTGGCTTCCTGGGTTGACTTGTGTGCTTTGTCTGCAGCTGAGTACACTCATCCTCAGCCAGGCTTCTGACTAATAAGGAGTCGAGTCATTTTCCTTTCATGTTCACAGAATAATCTTTAGTTTCTTTTTTTCTTCCATGTACGCCATGCTTTAAAATAATTAGCTTGATACAAAATCAAGAGGAGCGAGTTCATGCCAGGTGTTTCAACTGGGTATTCCTTCTGCAGGATGCGTTTAAAATCACCGACTTGAACATGTAAGAGATACAATAGCTGGGACGAGCATACGTCTATCTCTTGCACTTGCTCCTCATTGTTGATGTACATCTGTTGTAGAGAGTCCTCCAGCTCCTTGTTGCGTTCCAGAAGAGTCTTGCCGAGCTCGGCAGCCAAGTGCAGGTCTAACAGGAGCCAAGAAAGAGGAACAGATGTAAACAGCAGAAAGTGGTGAGCGTTCACTAAACCATGTCGGACGTCTTCATTCTAATGTAACAAAAATAAGGCCTACCCTGATCAGACTACCTTGATTTGGAAACTAACCCTCCTTGACACATATCAAATTAAATTAAGATGTGAAAGATAAACTCTTGGATCTTAATTCAATCCCTTATGGTTTCTAAAATCCAGATTTTTCAGGCCTGTTTCTTTCTCAAAATGAGTTCATGAAAGACAAGATGAAAGAAAGTGTTGAACTGACTATTAATCTGAAGGTTCACATTTGTAGCCTTTTACTATCAACTCACGTCCATAATAATGAAGAAAAGATATGAGGAAAATGAATGTAAGCACAAGTACAACGAAGAAAATGTCTGCAATACATTTCACCACTGTGTTCAGTCTGCTTGAACACAGATCGTATTCATACAAACCTGTAGACATCTGCCCACCGGGGGCCCGAGCAGTGCTAACACCACAGGAGCCACCCTCACAGTTACTGTTAGTTTACAACACAGCTTGAAGCATACATTATTCATCTCCTTAGGCGAAATGAAACCTAGCGGGACTGAGTAGGAGGAGGAGAATCCTGCTGGCTCTGCATACTTGGGAGCCCATAACAACACAGCGCTGGAGGAGGGAAAGATAGGAAGAAACAGACAGCCATTGACACCCATTACTGGGCATGAATGCAGTGTGTTATCACCACAGTGTGGGGCGTGAGCAATGACAGGAACACACACACACACACACACACACACACACACACACCCCATCGTTGGTGTAAAACACAAGAGATTAGAAGTGATTTACTGCTGATCCATCTGAATGTATTCACGTGTAAACTTCTACACCCAATTGAGCGTGCCTGAATGCAGCAGGGGTCATTCTTTTTTATCCAGTATAATTAACAAGTATCATTTGCTCAAGCTGTGCACGGCCGTGTTGCTACATTTGTCTCCAATGCTGCAGAGGGACAGGCTGTGATTTCCTGTCTCAACAATGCAGAACCCACAACATAACACAAAACCGCTGAGCGATAATGAGCTGTGTGTGAGGAGAAAGCACAGCGAGCCTTCATCCCGAGGTCCAACTCGGTCATAGCTCTGTTTTTGCTCCTGAGGGCCGACACGTGCAGAGTCTTAGTTATGTAATTTCAGAATTATGTGCAGGGATGAGAGGCTGTGCTGAGGAAATAGCAAAAACCGGACACCCAACTACACAAAAAGGGTCACACATCTGCTCAAAACAAACTGATGAACCTGATCACAAAGACATTCATGGCATCTGTCTCCATAGTTGATACTATGGAGACACATTATATATATATATATATATATATATATATATATATATATATATATATATATATATATATATATATATATATATATATATATATATATATATATATATATATATATATATATATATACACACATATACATACACACACACACACACACATACATACACACGATGCTCTTTGATGTGTGCATCTCACATACAGTCACAGGCCCCTGGGATGAGGCTACAACAAAAAACATGACATCTCCACACCATCTGCCCAGACGCACTTCATATGTTTGCCAGATCATAATGAAAACAGGGGTCACCAAATCTCGGGAGCTGGCAGCTGAGAGAAGTTGCATAACCGCATCATTTCTGGGGCAAAATCATGCCGGAGCATGAGCGCATGCAGGATAATGTTTGTTTGGAGCAGTGAGCACTGACGGCAATTATGCGTCCAATATGACCCTAAAGCCTGGAATCTCTGATCCCGACTAAGGAGGTCTAGTCTGGGGCTCCCTAATCAGATCAGCCAGGGGCTTAATGACTTCAAGCTCTATGCTGAGATGAGATACAGGCAGCATGGTGTGACACACACACACACACACACATCCACCTGCCTCTCTTCTTTCTGACTATGTTCAATGTGATGATGAGACACAAAGCTGCTTTAGTTCTCTGGGTCAGCAGGTAATCAGGGGATGGGGTGATGCTGAGGCCATCGTTGCAGAGGGACACACATCTCTCCTCTGAGATGCACTATCAATGAAAGTGCATCCATTCAAATCATTACTGAGGAGGCTGATCACACACATACAGACACACACACACACTGCATCACATTAGGCATCAGTGAAGCAGCAAACACATTACTTATGATCTTCTGCTTTTTGTCTTCCTCCTCACACACCCTAAATAACGTCACTACCTCCCCATAAGTGATCTGTGCTTTGACATCCCTCTGTGGCCCATCCCGCAACTCAGCAGAGTGAATACAGAGTGACTGATAGATTTAAGAAAAAAGGAAAAAACTAGGAGGAGAGGAGTGCTGGGATGTAAGATGTGGCCCTGCAAGGAGGGAGATGAAACAGAGGCAACATTCACTCAGTCAGACACCAGGAAACGCCACTGACAAGATCAAAATAATTGACAGAGATGAAGGGCATGTATATCCAGACTCGGATGCAGGGACAGACCGAGACATGGTTTTCATAGTGCGTGTACTCGTGCATGAAATGTGTTTGACAATGGGATGCAACCTCCTCCTGCAGGAATTCGTTTATCCCAGAATCCAAGCCAGAATAGCAGCGTGGATGGGGCATTGTTACATCGCCCCTAAACACACACGCCCACAACCAATTAAACACAAACCTGTGACAGGAGAAATGACGACTCACCTTGCTCCAGGTCCCGCTGGTCGTACCACGGCTCCTCATCCTCCGTGACAAACTCCTCCATCCTGCCTGCACGGAGCATCGATGCTGATGAACTTCTTCACCGGCGATGTGATCTGCCAATTCACCGACGGCTCGCCCGGAAGTGACAACAAACAACAGCGGCGCAGCCTTCCCAAGCGTGTAACCCTTTCAGACAAATTACTTAATTAAATCCCAGCACCGCACCTGCTTCTTCAACCATCTGCAGATGTGAACGAAACCACACCTGAACTGCCAGACCTGCAGAAAAACAGCTGGTAGAGAATACTGCAGGTTTCTCGTGTTTGTCTCATCAGTGTTTGATGTGTAGCAAGGCCCTGCAGACGCAAGTTGGCAGCCCGCTCAGTGGGCAAATGCTGCTGTGTTCAAGTGCTGTCGGAAATGCCGCATAAGATGCGGGCACTTTAACTCTTCGTCATGCTGCTGCAGCACTGCTTTTTTTGTTAGGTTGTTTTATTACTGCTGGGTAGTAGTAAAATAACTTCATCACTGACTGGTGATGCTGCTGGTAGATGTTTTTAATGTCCCCACAAACAGACAAAAGTTAAATTTGGATTTATTAAATATGTCTGAAGTATGATATTACAAGCTACATTTTTCTCAATACGTAAGCGTATTAATTAATCAAATTTAATTTCTGAAATCAAATTCAATCAACTTTATTTCTTAACCTCACTTTACACAAGTTAGTTTGAGTGGGGAATTATATTCTTTCGTATTATTGCATGTAGGGTTTCCCCTCAATTTGATGTTAAGAATGCGTTTTATATATTAGGACGACCATTCCCTGCTCCCAAGAGGGGAAAAATGCTCCAAAGTCGCTGCTTTTTCTCTGCTAATAGCCAAAAAAATAATGAACTTTTTTTTAAATCAAATAATCTGAATGTAGGAAAATCAAATGCGTAAGTTACAAGGAGCACCTGAATGCGGCACCAGAGGAGGTGACGTCATCATGTATTTGACAGCGTCCCCGGCACGGACATCTCCTCTCCTCTCCCCCCCCCTCCTTCTCTGATAACTTTAACTGTCCAATTGAATACATCAGCTTTCATGGATTAACACACAGTAAATGTCACACTGTGGTTGCTCTGTTCCTGTTCAGCATAGACTTTATTGTAAACATGTAAAGAGCACAGAGTATATAGACAATGGCTCCCTCCTGACTGTGGACACTCTCACAGCCCCAACAGGCACTATAACTAAGGAACTTTTCCCTCATTGGAAACCAAGTTGCTGAAAAAGAAATACCTCATTCTGCATAAAGTCTCCCTTTGCTACCAGACATAACTGAATTCACCTTTTATTCATCTTTAAATAAAAGAAACCACAAAAAGGTCAGTTTTACATCATACAATATCTATCATGTATGTCCATTTACTTTCTTTGTTCTGCAGTCAAAGACAAAATATGTAGCAGCAATAAAAATATATCTGTTAGACCCCACAGCACAGAACTGTCTGGTTTATGTCAAAATTTAAAACATTGTTTCAGTATTTTTCTGTTTTATCCCCATTTACTTCACATCATGTATTCTTCACGTTACCGACAACCATTTCCACAATGTGTTTCCAGCCGTGGCTCTATGGATGGAAATGTCAGTTGATCAGTCCACCACTTCGGTCTAGACTGAAATATCTTAACTATTGGACAGATTGCCAGGTATTTTGGTACATACTTGCATGGTTCTCAGAGGACAAACCCTAATGAATTTGGCGATCCTTTAATTTACATTTTGACCTAACTGCTAGTTTGCAGTCAGGTCAAAATTTTAATTCGTCCAATACTTCTAACAAAATACCTGCAAAACTAATTCCCATCAGCCTCAGCCTACTTTATGTTCTATGCTTATTAGCAAATGTTAGCATGCCAACACACTGAGATAAAATGGTAAACAGTATGCCTGCTAAACATCAGGATGTTAGCACTATCATTGTGAACATGTTAGCATGCTGAGGTTAGCATTTTGCTCAAAGCAAAGCCGTGCCTAAGTTCAGCCTCACAGAGCTGCTAGCATGGTTGTAGACTCGTTTGTCGCAAGAGCAAACTTGAAACATGTTTTACATCAGATTTAAGTGCAGAATGACATGAAAAGAAGGAGAGTGCAGTACCACCAAAGCGCCATACTGTAGTGAAATGAATGAAGACTATTTGCTGTCTGCAGAGGAGTCCTTTAAAAATCACATACTTTGGTCATCGGTGATCATTTTTCAGTAAATGGGCTGAAACACAAAGAACGCTTGTCATACAAGTATGCACGCAGTTTTCCCTCTGCTCTCTCAGGCTGTAACAGTCCCCATTATTGCTTAATTACTGGCATAAGCTAACGTAGCAGCGACAAGCCTGAAAAAAAAGCAGAACTCTAGCAGCAAATCAACAATAAACCTGACCAGCAGTGTTCCTCACTAGAACAAGGGAAGCTTAGGCACTGACGGGTAGGGAATGGCTACATTTCATTCCTTGTTCTCTGTGGTTATGCAGCTGTGTGTCCTTTTAAGGTGCTTCCAGTCTGCTTCGCTTTCACAGCGCTGAACTCTGCTGAAGAACTTCTTGATGAGAGCCTTGGCTTCTGCTTTAACTGTGGACACAGAGATGAGCGTTAGAGAGGAGCCCGTCGCGTGCAGCAAAGCGCAAGTTTTAGATGATGTACCCCCTGCGTACCTTGGCCTTTCCCCCGACTCCTCCCCTCCGCGAGAAGGTGAGATAAGTAGCGGGCGAAAGACTTAAACAGCTCCTACAACCAAAAAGAAAACAACAGCTGTGAAACGACTCATTTCACCAAGCTTTTCCTGCAAACAGGAAATGGTATTCTGCTCTCTCACCTTGGTGGCAAACCTTCCCTGAGTGTAAAAGGGGTCCAGGTAGCGGACCACGATGTCGGCTGCTTCCTTTAGTGTCACAGGCTTGGGCGGCTCATTAACAGGCTGCAGGGCCCTCTCCTGCACATTGGGGTTGAAGGTTACTCTTCTGCTGCTGCCGTCTGCAGGGCGGCTGCGCTTCACTGGAGGAGAAGTCTCTCTGTTCGCTTTCATATCATCTGTCAACTGAACACACACAAAATCAGTGACTGAGCGGGAAAGACATCTTCAGATTGGATAGGAAACTCATACTTACCCCTGCTACCAGAGGCGCTTTATCTTCTTCCTCAGGCTTGTTTTGTCTGCATGAGAGAAAATAATGTTAATGAAGAAGACTTTTCCGTCATCTTAAAATGGTGCATTCAGGGTTTCTTACTCTGATTTATACTCTTTAGATGTGTCTTTAAGTCGCTCCAGCTCCAACATCTCTGTCTCCTCTTCTTCATCATCAAGTATAACTATTACATTGTTTTTACTTTCTTCTTGGATCACATCCTGAGTCTCTGACTCCACAGGACTGATCTCTACATCCTCCACAGTGACAGGTGAGTGTTCCCGCTGGCTACTGTTGTCTTCAGCTTCCAAGGCGGTAGTATGAGATAATATAACGCCCTTTGGCGTCTCCGCCTCCTCCACTGTCTGTTTCTTAGCAAAGTACTGGGAAATGTTGCGGGAACTCTTTGCCGCTTCCGCTAGCTTCTGCTGCTTCTTGCTTATGGCTCTGCTGGCCTTCGTCGGGCTGTTCAGGCAGGAAGCTGCGGCATTTGCTCTGGCTCTGATCGATGACGTTACAGCCGAAGAGGCATCTGTGTTCGTCTGTTCTCTCCTCTCCAATTCAGAGCCTCCCGAGCGGTCGTTGTAAAATCCGCTGCCCTCTGTCCATTTGTTAGACTCAGTGTCCAACATGGAGGACTTCAGCAGCTCCTTAGCAGTCAGGAAGGGGTTGGATTGGCCCCTCTGCCCTGCCCCTATTCTCTTACGCTTCAGCTGGAGGAATAATAGAAAACAGAATACGTTAGGCTTGGGCGCTATTTATTTTTTCATACCTTTCAGACTTTTCACCGGGTTATTGGTATATCAAAAAAGTGAAGCAGGTTATCGAGTTGTAGATGATGTAGGCAGTTTTACAATGCATCGCCCGCCTACAATACATCAGCTCAATACAGCATGTCTGAATCAGTTTAATTGAAAGCAGAGCGTTTGTATTTTTGACTGTATTCAAAATCATACCGTTGGGATTTCTAAATACCCTGGTATGCTGTAGTACCCCCCAAGCCTAGAATTAATGTCTGCAACTGCTTGTAATAATCTTACTGAGTAGATCTCCGATGCAGATGTGAACCCCTGCAGCTCCTCAGAGAAGCAGGAAGAAGAAGGGGAAGATGCTTCCTCTTTGAGTTTTGACTCCATTTCTGTGGATTCACTGTTGCTGTTTGTCTTCTCACTTTCTCCTCTTTCTCCTCCAGCTGAAGCCGGGACTGTTTTCTTCATCTCTGATACCTTTAAGAACAAGAACGGAATATGGTATTTAGATTTTACTTTGTGCTACCGATGAGGCTGTGCCAGACAGAACAGTCAGTACTCACCTTCTTTAGGACAGCAGCCTTGTACAAATTGGACGTCTTGCTGCTCTTGAAGACCTCATGTTCGAGCTCCACCGCTAATGACAGGGTACCACAGCTGAGAGATGGAGAAGACATTAAAGAGAATGTATAGTGACATTTCTGCAGGAAATTAACTATGGATATGCATGATGTTTGAAGCATGTATCTGCATAATTACTTGAATGTGTCTTCTGCCCCCTGGTGGCCATGTAATGCCTCCTGCAAGAGGCACAGACAGTGCTCTCTGGCCTGAAATAGAATACAGTATTTATATAATTAATTAAATTAAATGATAAACTAATAAAAACATTTTCAAATCAAAGCTACAGAATCGTAATTATTTTAATTTAGTAGAAAGGCATGGTTTTGAGGGAAATGTTTGCAGCACCGAAACTTCTTGCAACTGCACACCAAAGATGAAAATAATAAAATAAATTATCTTCACATCTTTGTATATTTTGTTCTGTAAAACTGTTACCGAGGATTCAGACACTGCAGCTGCATATTCAGCCCACAGTGACCACTTTTACTGTACGAAATATTCTGCTGTCTCATTCTTTTCTTTCCAGATGCTGTATATACACTGTTATTTACTTACATCAATAATAGTGTTTGTATTGCTCAGCTGAATCTCTGACTCTGCTATCTGTCTTCACATCTCATGACACATGAGTCACTGAATTCCCAGAGACGTGTTGATGAACGCAGCAGTTATGGGGAATGTCTTCACAGTGCTGTGTGAGTACCTTTACTGTGAGCCTGGGGATCCTCTGGCTGCTGGCCTCTCTAAGTGGACAGTCAGCATCTGCACAGTACGACACACTGGTTATATGGCAGTACAGATCAGCCTGGATATCCACTGATACTTATTTTTTCTTCTA